GCAATTTTTTGATGCAAAAGTGGGAAGGAGTTGCGTACAAGATTCTAGTACTCACATTTATAGGCATTTGTAGGTGCACACGTTTGGCATCCATTATAATTGCTACTAGGATGACGATATGACGCTATCAGAGAGGCTCCAGGCTAGTTGGCTCAATAGGTCACTATCTGATAGCTCCAGGGGTAGATTCGATGTAATGGCGAAATTTGATTGGTATCTTGGACATAAAGTACTGATGAAACGTGTTCCGAGAGATGCTACATGTGTTGAAAGATGACGGCGTACCTAGTGACAAACCATCAAGTGTAGCGCATAGCCGCGACAAGATAGTTGATGTAACAAAACTGTGACGGGTGTATGGTTTAATATAGGCTTACAAAATTGTTATTACATTTGCACCACTTTTGCCCATTTTCCTTATGTAGCCCTCCACCATTGATGAATATCCACCACCTCACTGAACCTGCGCCTGGTGCTCCAATACCAAACTCGTGGCCCGACCAAAATTCCTTAGTGCCTGCCTCAACTGACCCAGAGATTGTGGTGACTGGAAAAGACACAAACGGTTGTATTCTGCTACCCCCCTCTACCCCCAGCATACCCAGTCAGCACACAGACAAAGTTTCCCCTCTCATTTTGTCACCTCTCCCCCTCGTCCTTGCGCCAGTTGCTACTGGAAAAATTTTCGATCCAACTGAGTCTTCCCGGAACTATGTGGTCTTAACCGATCCGGAGGAACAAGACCTGAATGGTTCTAGAGAATTTTCAGACCGGGCTGATGAAAGGGTGCAGAAAATAACTTCAAAGATGCTCAATGAAATCGGTGGCGTCTCAGCTGAAACAAGGGAAGAGTATGACGCAGGTGGCGATAATGATGAAGAGGGTGACGACGAGAATGAAGGGCCTGAGGATGAGGAAGATGAAGAGGATTCTGATGATGGATATTACGACTACTACGAAAATTGCGACAGCTATGGACAGCCATTTCTCGATGGCCCTAACACACATGACCTCTTTCCCGAGGCGGATGAAGACAGTTTCCATACTCGTTATCACCGTCGGCCCTTTTTCTCTTGGTTTTAGAACAGTATTACCTTCAAATGTCGGTTCCCTTGAAATTTATTTGTAAATTCTTTTTATTTTTGGCATTTTAAGTAGTAACCACTAGTATGACGAA